ATAAATAAATAAAGGCTCCACACTTGTGTTAATTCTTTTTGTCATGATTTGAAAAAAAAAAGAAAAAAGTTTTGTTTAAGTCAACCGATAATCATACTGGGTGCGTTTTTTTAAAAGGCATTTTGCAAGTCTTTTGTTTTATTATCAATATTATTTCTTTTCGCCCTGCTTCTTCTTCTTCAGGATTATCTGCAGGAGCCATTCACAAGCTTTGATTACATGAGCAAAATTCTTTGATCGGATTGAAATGTATTCGGATAAAATAATCCAAATGTATCATTTACATGGGCACAATCCGATCATGAGGAGCGTTAACATGCAGTGGGCTTTTATTCGGAGTAGAAGTACTGACATGTTCAGAGTGGTAAACTTTCCTTAAAAAAATAAAATAAAATACACAAAAGAAGAAGTTCTACTTCTGTGATTAACGTAAACAAACCTGAGTGCTCAAAATGGACCAGCGATCAGGTTTTAATGACGGTGGAGATGTTGAGCTACAGGTAATACAGATTATTTTGAGCTATTTCATAGTAAAAAGGTTGTGTTGCTCACTGACCAGTTTTACTTCCATGACATATTAGCATCTAGCCAGGTGGAAATATGTGAGGTTGACAGGTCGCACATGCACAGTCAGGCCAGTTGTCCACGATCGGAATAAAATTAACAGATTAAGTGTTTACAAGCACACCGTTCAGATTATGGATCAGCATAAACCACTGCTCTCATTAGCTATGTTTACATGGATATAAGTAATCTGATTAAACGACCATTCTGAATAAAAATGCATCATGTAACTGCACCATTCAGATTATTCTTTGTTGATTCAGCTCGATCCGAATGAATTTGTAATTCTTACTTATGCCCATGTAAACATAGCTACTGGAATAGTAATTGTATGTTTAGTTGTTGCTTCAGTTTGTGGTGGAGTGTTCTAGTGGTATAGAAAACATTAAAACTTTAAAATGTAACTTCAAAATGAAACAAGACAAAAATTATTATTATTCATATTTTTTCAGCTTTAACAGTCAGAATCAAAGTTTTAACAGTAAATTTTAAGCAGGGCTGGAGCAGGACTCATTCTGAGCCTGGGAGTTTTGTACCCTTAAAGTGACACACTTAAGTTTGCAACTACTCTATGCATACTAACTAACTAACCTGTATAAATAAAGGTTGAATGAACACATCTACTTTTGTCTGTCTGAAACAGGGCTGTCTTGTAAATGAGTCCTCGAGGCTAGTTCCCACTGCACCTATACAGGTGTATACCATACCATACCATACCATACCATACCATACCATACCATACCATACCATACCATACCATACCATACCATAACATACCATACCATAACATACCATACCATACCATACCATACCATACCATACCATACCAGCTTTATTTATAGAGCACTTTAAACACCTACAGGACCAAAGTGCTGTACACACAACAAAACAATCATACAGTCAGATAATAAAAATGATTAAAAGTCAAAATCTCAGGTGGTGTCTGAAAGACCACGGAGAAGAAATGGGTCTTAAGAAGGGATTTAAAAACAGAAAGGGAAGAGGCCTGTCTGATGTTCAAAGGAAGGTCGTTCCACAGTTTAGGAGATGCCACAGCAAAAGCACGGTCTAAATAAATAAAGGTTAAATTAATACAAAATTCAATGTGAGTTTTCTACAACAGGGGTTTTCTCTTTGCCACTTTCCCATAAAGCTTGAACTGGTGAAGAACTCGGGCAACAGTGGTTGTAACTGTATGCTCAGTCTCTCCCGTCTCACCTGCATAAACCTGTAACTTCTTCAGAGTGCTCACGAGTGTCTGTTCTCCTTGATGTTGGTGAGGACAACCTGCTCCTGGTAGATTTACACATGTCCCATATTCTTTGTATTTCTTGATGATGGATTTAACAAAACGTCAAATGATGTTTGCAATGTTTAAGTCCTTGGAAATTCTTTTGTATCCTGACTTGTATTTTTCAGTTTTATTTTCTCTTAGTTAAATTAGGACAGTCACTTTAAAGGGAGTGAATATTTATTCAGTCGCAATTTTTACATTTTATAGTTTTATCATTGTTTTGGGGGATTTTAGACCAAGTCCATTTTGGTCATATATATATATATATATATATATATATATATATATATATATATATA